CAAAGTGACTTAACAACAAAGATTAGACCAGAACACAGCACCACTATTATTAGGTCTGAAGAAGAAAGGGGCTAACAGGGATCTGGAGTCAATCGGAATGTAGGTGAGGAGGACTCCAGATTTTACAGTTCTACAAGCCAAAGCCCAATGAACACCTCATCTTGTCATCCACAAGGACGCCAACCAAGTAGTCCCTGCATGTGGTGCCTCTAGTGAGGGCTTTCATGAGGGACAGCGTGCTCAGTGCCATCTGACCACACAGCGATGCCACATGGGGGGGGGGGGTGTTGTCGCTCTCAAACTCAGCTGGGGAGGGACGCAGGTGGCCGTTTATCACCGTGGTGCATGGCAGGCCCTTAACTGCACTGTCAGGGCCTACACGTGGGTACAAGTATTAGAGGTGGCACTTAAGAAACGGGAAGCTCCAGAATAGCCAGAGGAACTTCTCTATGTAGAAAGCATACTCTAAAAAACTAGTCTAGGTGCCGGGGAGATGGCTCAGTAAAATAAGCGCTTCCCTGGCAAGCGTAAGGGCCCGAGTTCAAACCCCGGTTCCACAAACAAACAAACAAACAAACGAAAAAGCTAGTCTACGTACCGACATTTCCCAAGGCTCACTTTGAATTTCTCAGGGCCACTAGCACAGTCCTTGCCATCAATCCTGGTCAAAGCAAGCAAATACACAAAGCACATGACTGACAACAATCTAGGCAGAGTCACTGCATGGAGACGCTCTAGGTGTGTGAGGTTTTTAAATGAGACCGTGATACTGTTAGCTCTTACCTTTCAGAGGGATCCATTCTGCACATGAACTGAGAACTGGTGGCTCTTCTTGGACACGTACAAGGATACTAGAACCGGGGTGAAAATATTTCTGGGCCAGATGTTGTGGCACACACCTGTAGGCCCTGCTCACGGAGAAGCTCAGGCAGAAGGCTCCCAACTCTGCGTCCAGCCTGGCAATGTAGTGACCTCATGAGACCCTCTCTCAAAATAATAAAAAAAACTTGAAAAGAACTGGGGATGCAGAGAGAAGGTCTTGGGTTCCACCTCCACGTTGCCTGTGAAATCACACAGGCCGCCCTCCCTCCCGCAGCACTGAGGCCACAGGGATCCGGCGCACTGACATCAGGATGGGAGTAAATACAAAGCAGTTCAGAAAGAGTCACGCCAGGTGTGAGAGCGAAGGGTTTATTTCATACTTAGCCATGCACAGGCATACGTACAGTACTGCTGTGGCCAACGTAAACAAGTACAACTTATACATGAAGTTTGATGAAAGTGGCTTCTGAAATGAATGTGACAACTCACTGTACAACCTACAACTCAGGACACCGTGGTGTAGCGGCTCTACTGAAGCCATCAGTGACTTACATCAGAAGGACTGCAGTATGATTCAAAGGCACTAGATCTTTTCTTCTAGCATTTAAGAACAAAGACTAATTAAAAAGGAAAACAAATGGATAATTAAGAAACTGGGTAGACACTAGTGTGTCTAAATGTAAACTCTACCCATTCCTTAATTCACAGCCCTGGAGCAGAGGGGTTTCCTCAGGCAGGGGGAAGAGATGAAGGAAGACTAAGAGGAAACAAAAGACCCCAAAGCTTAATCACAATTTCTAAAACATGCTCCAGATGAAGCAGTGCCCCCTCCTTCTCTCAAAGCAAGTTTCAGTCTCCTGCCGTCCCCCATAGACTCCTTTCCCAGAAGAAGAGGAGACAGTTTATCATAGCAAGTCTGCTGCAGAAGTGGAAACTCCCTCTTCCCTTGGTGAACCTAAACAAGACCAGGAACACTGTACCTTAATATCCTAGCTACTCAGATATATAATGACAGGTTTTTATTAAAGAACGTACTATAATAACATTCTACATCAAGACTGCTTTCAATAAATAAATACTACTATTTAAATTAAAACACTCATTCAGTAACCTATTTATATAGATATGCCACTGATTTTAAGTCTGTACATTTATTTCAAATAATGAGCAAGTTTGTTTATCTCTCAAGAAATTTAACACTGAAGTTACAAAATATTTCACTTATGGACAGAGACACAGTGAACATGAAGAAAGCACAGAGCGCTGTCCCTGGAGCGGAAGGACAGCCCTGAAGTCAGTAACCCAAGCATCAAATGGGAGCGAATGGGAGGCAGGCCAGGCATGAGGCTCTGACATGCTATTTCATGAAATGAGTATTTAATGTCCATCTTGTATAATCAATTCTTATTAATTTATTTGGTACCAGGAATCGAACTTAGGACCTTGCACTTGCCAGGCAAGGCACTGAGCTATATCCCCGGCCTATAATCAGTTCTAGCATAAACACTTTTTTTAAAAAAAAGTATTTGGTACAGGGTGTCACCCTACAGCTCAGACTCGTAGTGATCCATCCTCCTGCCTTCAGCCTCCTGGATCACAGGTGTGCCACCTCGCCTGGACTTGGTCTCTGACTCAGCATGCCCCGGGGGTGGGACCAGTGCGGCATGTGGAACCGGGAATCAAACCCTGGTCCCTGCACTTGCCAAAGCAGGCACTTAGTCCAGTGAGCTATCTTGCCGGCCCTTCTAGCATAAACACTTTTTAAACAGTTGTTGAAGTCTCACTATGCTGACCCCTCGAAGATCTCTTGCTATGGAGGCGCGACGCTGGCTTGCACTTCTTGCGCTTTCATCAGGCACAGGAGCACACAGCTACGAGGGGTTAATTATTACAAGCTAGAAACATGGACTTTTATTTATTTTTATGTGGTAACGGGGATCGAACTTAGGACCTTGCGCTTGCCAGACAGGTGCTTAAGCCACTGAGCTATATCCCCCGCCCCAAAACATGGACTTTTAAAATTCATTTCAAAGATTTATTTATTTGTTACAGGGTCTTGCTATGTAGCTCAGACTTGCAGTGATCCTCCTGTCTCAGCCTCCCTGGCACTGGGATTACAGGCATGTGCAACCATGCCTGGCTTTTTGTTTGATTTTTTTGGCTGGCTCAGGCTACCTTAAGGGCAGGTCTGGTGCAGCATGTGGAGCTGGGGATTGAACTGCGGTCCCCTGTGCCTGACTGAGTTTGCCCAAGCAAGTGCTTTAAACAACTGAGCTAACCGGCAAGCCCCCCTTTCTGTGACTAGCATAGCAAGGGGCCAGCACAACATTTGCCAGGGATCGAACTCAGGTCCTTGTGTTTGCCAGGCAGGCGCTTAGACCACTGAGCTATCTCCCGAGCCCTGGACTTTTTTTTTTTTTTAAAGAGACAGCACTGCTAAATTGCTAAAATTAAGGTTTCTGAAGAGTAATTAACTACTACCAGAGATACATCACTGAAAATTTTACAGTTACTAGGACAGTCTGCTCCAGACACCTTTCCACTGTGCCTCCACAGTATTAAAGGAAAGGTACAGACTCTATTTCACACGGCGAATCTAGGTACCTGGCACGCACTGGCCCCTCAGTGCTCACGCTTCACAGCACCTCAGGTGCACAGCTCCGCTGCCCTGCCCTCACCTGCAGGGCACGTGCACGCATCCACCCTCTGCACAACACTGCCTCACCAGGCTTGTCAAAATGACATTAATTTAATAACTCCTAAGGCTGAGGATTTAGCTGAGGGGCACAGTGCTTGCCTAGCATGCATGAGGTCCTGAGTTCAATTCTTGACCTCCCCAAGAAAACGCTAATTGTGAGGTCTTAAGACCTTAGAATTAATGTGTTTCAGGACTATCTACAGTAATTCTGAAACATGCAAAACATAATGCTAAGTGGCTCAAGGGTAGCATAACCTTTAAAAAATAATTTGGTAAGTAGCTAAGAAAAGAACCAACAACTCTGATTTATTTTACTTTAAGAAATTCAGGGGCTGGCGAGATAGCTCAGTGGTCTAAAGCGCCTGCTTAGGCAAGCTTAGGCAAGCATGCAGGGACCTCAGTTCGATACCCAGCACCACATGCCACGCCAACCCCGCCCCCAGGGTGGGCTGAGCTGACCATTAAAACAAAAAATAAATAAATAAATAAATAAAAATAAAGGAAACATTAAAAAAAAAAAGAATGGAACTAAATAAATTGAGTATCTAGTTTAAAAAAAAAAAAAGAAATTCATATAGTTTTTATTGTGAAGGGAGCTTTTTGGGGGACAGTCCGAGGGACCAAACCCAGGGTCCCACATGTGCTAGGCAAGCTCTACTTCACTCTCAGCCCCAATTTTGACAGGAATATGACATAAGTAGACCAGTCAATAGAAGAAGTCTAGGGAAGAATATTTTCTTTTTATAAAATATGAAAACAAGATGTTTATAGGCAAAAGATTAAAAATATTTTATGTTTTTGCTTGGCTGCATTTTATAGAAAAATGGAGACCCTGGTCAACTGGGAGACAGTCTCAAAATGTAAAACTTGGCAAAGATCCGTAAATCATACTTCAAAGTAAATTTCAAAAACATATGTATAGTCAAAGATAAATGACAGGAGCCGGGGAGATGGCTCAGTGGAATAAGCGCTTTCCTGGCAAGCACAAGGGCCTGAGTTCAATCCCTGGTTCCGCAAAAAAAAAAAAAAAAAAAAAGATAAGTGACCAATATGTAGTTTCTTAATTTTCTGCAACTGTGGCTCTTTTATATTTAGTTACAATTCAACGTTTCAAGAGAGCATGAAACTGGAAAAACAAAAAAAATGTGTATTTAATTTGAACTCAAAGTGGCAAAAATAGAAGAGCTCTAGATGAAACATTTTTAACTTGTGTCTTAAAAATGTACACTTGCAAAGACTGTTAAACTATGAATTTTCTACAGAATTTCAGGAAGGTCAGTCATCTCATACTTCAGTGCCATGAATGTCAGGATAAAAATGGGAACACAGTCACATTCAGCAGGGTCACGCAAGACAGTTCAGTCTGCTGCTTTCTACGTGCAAACAGGACAGACTTTCTTCCTATTTAGAAATCCCGATGATCTAAACATACAGTAGTTGGGTAAACAGTTAACAGGCCGCCGCGTGCTCGACAGCCCGGCACCGCGGGCGAGAGCGCGACCAGTCCCCACAGCTGCACGGCCTCACTGCGCTGCGCCACCTTAGCACGTGGGGGCTAAGCGAGTAGGCAACTTACTACTTCTAGTCTTAGTCCACAGTTTATAGATTCCATTACGCGAAGCTACACGTAAGTCTTCAGTGTTTTAATTAAAGATTTATCCACTCACGAGAACACCGCCAGCTTTTATTGCGATTCCCATTTGTAGCACTCACTGAAGTAAGGAATCGATTACGGTCTCAGGCTTTGCTGAACGCTTTCTGTTTGGAGAAGACAAAAAGACAGCATGAGTGCTTGGACAGCAGACTGGGACACGCCAACACGTCACCTTAGGAGCGCAGGGGCCACGGTCTGGAAATGGGCCCGTGGGACGTCTGACAACGCCGTGCCGCACTCGCCCACTTCCTCACCTAGACCAGGGACCACACCTGGGTGCTCCACAGTAGTGGGTGACAGGGCAGATGAGTTTCAAAACAGGACTAAACGCTACGGCCAGGCCACAGCCTGCTTTTTTTTTGTCTTCTTTGAGACAGGGTCTCACTACGCAGTCCAGGCTGGCTTGAGCTCACTTTGTAGCTCAGGCTGGTCTGCAACTTGCAACGATCGTCCTGCCTCAGCCTTCCGAGTGCTGGGATTACAGGTATGGGCCACCACGACCAGCCTGCTTACCAGATTTTATCCTGGTAATCTCCGAGGTCTGTTAATGGCACAGATGGACTCAACAATAGTCAGGGACACAGATACGAATCACTGTGGCATAATACCCAGATGCGCGCGGGGCCCCAGCAAACGCTCTACTGACGTCCTGTGTTCACTGCCACCTGGTCCAGCACACTGGACTGTTTCTACGAGGCGCGCCATGTAAGCACGTCATGTCCTTAATATAATGTCCTCAACAAGCTCTGTACGTGCGTGCCTATGTCTACGGTCATCGACAATTTTCATGACACAACACACTAATTCAGAGGCGCTGCGTTTGGCTCACATAATGTTAGCCAATAGTTTCTAAGGTTCAACTTTTTGAAACTACACATTTTAAAATGTGATTTATAGACGTTACAGTGTTTGGCATAGGTCTAAACAGAAAAAAAAGGAACTAAAATTTGAGAGCCATCACATAAAATGTATTTCTGGTTTCTTCTTGGAAAGGAGCAAATACAGCAACAGCAGGCCCTCTATCCCTTCAACTAACTGGGAACAGAGCACCAACACCCACCCTAAACAGTGCCTGCTCTCAAATGGAGAAAGGCTGTCTTTACAATTCTAGCAGGTAGAAGGTCTTTCCATTACCCTAGATAAGCTGAGCAGTAAATATTTAATGTAGAAAAGAGGAAGAAAAACGCAGTGCCTGCTCAGGCACCCACTGCTGATCCCCCGGCTCAAGTGACAATGTAGGTGCAGGAGTCGCAGTCAGAGCCTGTGCCCAAAGCAGAGGGCAAGGTGGTCAGAAAATGCATCTCTGACGGGTGACTCTGGGAATCAGGTTCTCAGGGGCGGTGTTTATGACAGAAAGACTAACCAGGTGAATATAATATTTTGAAAGTCTAATCAGACAAATTAAACATTTTATTAGAAGAATTAGTATAAGAAGAATTTAGGAAGCTGGGTGTGGTGGCATGTGCCTGTAATCCCAGCGCTGGGGAGGCTGAGACAGGAGGATCGCTATGAGTTGGAGCTGTGGAGCGAAACTCTGTACCAAATACATAAATAATTGATTAAAAAACGAAGACTCGGGCTGGTGAGATGGCTCAGTGGTCTAAAGCACCTACTTAGAACAAGCTTAGCAAAGCACAGGGACTGCGGTTCAATCCTCCAGCACCACATGCCAGCCAGCCCCGCCCCCTGGTGGGCTGAGCTGGCCACACACACACACACACACACAATAAATAAATAAATAAACTTTAAAAAACAAAACAAAAACGAAAACTCTAAGATAGTAGGTGATCCATTATAAGTTTAAAAAGAACAAATTTAATTTACAACAAATTCTAAGGGCCAGCCAAATAGCTCAACAGATTAAAGCACCTGCTTAGGCAGATGCAGGAGCCAGGGTTGGATCCCTGCCTGTCATGCTGGCCCTGCCCCCCAGGACACGCTGAGATAGGGATTGAGAATGGGCAGATGGTGCGCCTGTAATACTAGCTCTTTGGGAGACTGAACACAGGTGGATCACTACGAGTCTGATCTACATAGTGAGACCCTGTAGATTCTTACTAAAAAATGCAAAAATAATTAAATAAATAAGACAAATTCTATTACTCATGAAAAATAAAGAAGTGAAAAGACCTTAATTCTCTAGCCAGAGTTTATTCACCCAAATCACTATCTAAGGAACTTTACTTTTAAAATACTGGCCGAAATACGTCATGTTAATTAGCTTTCAACTTGTATCTCAGCAGTCTGCCTCCTGGCCAGCGTTTCCCGAGCACCACAGAAGGTCCTTACCTTCTCCCGGTCTTTGGCCTCACCTTCCCCTTTGAGGTCCGGGGCCTTTCCAACTTCAACAAAGACTGACGCAGACTCTCCTCGGTATAGGCAAGGTACACATGGGAAAGGTCTACTTCAAAAGGCTGTAGAAGGAAACAAACACAGGCCACTCTCACAGGAAAGCATTAAACCACATCTGGGAGAGATTTCAAATACTAAACACCTAGAAAATGCCCAGGAGACAAAAGCAAATAATGTCTCATGATCCCTTCTAGCTCCAGTAGCTAAAATGCATTTCCCACAAAGGCTAGTAAGAAGCCCTGCCACACTCTAAGGTCCGCAGACACAGAGAAAAACCACTGACTGCTGTTCTCTCTTCTTGTTGACCTAGGACTAGAAACGGCCTTGCAATCTAGCCCCTGCCGTGCCTGGATGACCAGAGTGGTGAGTGGAGGACCCCACTCGTACACAGGACGATGGCTGAGCTGCCCACTGCACCTGGCCCGAGAGCCTTTATCCCAAAAGACAGGCTCTGCCCAAATAAGTGGGTTAGCAGATACTGGGTTCGTAGTACAATTTAATCAGGTACATTCCTATAAAGAAACAGATGTAGTTTTAGAAGGAAAAAAAAAGTACCCTTACATCTTTCTCCTTTTTATCAGGTACTGGCGTTTGCTTCCTCATGTTATTTCCTGTATAGGCAACGCATTTCTCAAAAAAGGAAGGGGAGAGAGGAAGAAAGGTCTTAATTAGTAATTAGCGCTCTGAATCCGTCAAATGCTGTGGGATAGTGTTTTTCCTCTTGTGTGCCTTTCTGAGACAGGGTCGGTCTCACTACGCAGTTCAGGCTGGCCTTGAGCTCACTGTATAGTCCAGGCTGGCCTAGAACTGGCAGTGAGCCTCCTGCCTCAGCCTCCCAAGTGTCGGGATTCCAGGCATGTAGTACCACATCCAGCCTATTCTGATGTTTCACTAGTAAAACACGACTTGAATGCTGGAGGAGAAAGGGAGCTACAGGTCATTCAGTTCCGTGATCTAGACCATTTCTACCACATGATTTCTGTGTTATGATTAACCAGAAAGAAATCAGATCTCAGAGATAGCAACCTTTTAGAGATCTGAATTATGCAAACAGCCACCAGTCTCTTCTCTGCTCTGCTAGGTGCTCATCTGACAGTCTCTGAACCACCTCCCTCCCTTCAACCAGCACAACTCCTGGTCCCCATGCAGGATCCAAAAGTACTGCGTGAACAAATGAAGGTAGTACTCACTAGCTGCCACTCTCCTATGTCTTCATTCCAGTGGACATAGTTTTCAATCATCTCCTTTTAAAAGAGTCAAAGATAGACTATTTTAAATATTTAACATTTTTTTACAAATAACATTTAAAGTATCAAAATGTCCATATCTCTAATTCTTATTATTAAGTGGAAAAAGTTACACTCCAAAACACTACACACTATGCCCCTTGAACTCTCATGTATGTAAAGGCGACCCAAACACGGGCTGCTGTACTCACAGCGGGTCCATCCATCGATGAGCCGCATAGCAAGCACGCTGTCAGGAGCTGGGGCTTGGCTGGAGGGGCATCAAGACCTAGGACAGCATCTTCTTGTCCCCAGGCCCTCCCTTCCATTTTGGACTGCTACAGGCTGCGTGCCTTTTCTTTGCAATGCCCCACTGCCACCCTGCTTCCACCTTGGAGTCTGCCACCCATCAGGTGAAACCAGGAGCAAAACTGTACTTCTCCTACTTTAAGCTGTGGGTGTCAGCCATCAAGTTTCAGTGACATGAAAGTGACAAGAAAAGAAACTGCTGAGAACTGGGATCATCTGTATGACCGAACCTGGCCCGGGGTTTAGAAGCCTTTGGAAGTGGTGCATGGGGGGAGTCTGGAAAGACTTAAATGGCCAGCTAGAGAAGCCCTACAATGCTATAAGCTGCGCTTAGTGGAAGACGCTGGTCAGAGCTCAGAAGACCAAAATGTTAATAGAAATGCAGAAACTGAAAGCCAGGCTCAGGGAGCTTCAGTTGAGAGCAAGAACTCTCTCAGCAGTTAGACTAGGCCAGGCGTGGTCGCACATGCCCACACTCCCAGCACTAGGGAGGCAGGAGGCTGTGAGTTAGAGGCCAGCCTGGGCTACACAATGAGTTCAAGTCCAGCCTGACTTATATAACAAAACCCTGTCTGAAAAAGAAAATTAAAAAATTTAAAAAGGCAATTAGACTAGAGGATATGTGTGGTACACTCTTGCAGAAAATTGCCTACATTTTGCTCATATCCTAGGATTTTGCAAGAGACAAAGGGCGGCTGGCTAACCTGAAAGAGAAAATTTTAAGGTGGCACAACATTCAGGCTGTGGCATAGGTACTGTGACTGCTTTATGTCATATCGTAACAGTAAAGTTTGGTACACTAAAAAGCTTCCAGTTAGATGAGAAAGGAAGTGTCTGCAACAAAGGAGAGCATGACTGGTGAAGGATTAGCATGAAAAGGAAGCCAAGTACGTTCCATCAGAGTAAGAGAAAAGATAACTCGAGGGCATCTGAGGAATGACCAACACTCCCACCCTTTGTAAGCTCACGGTGCAAAATTGCAAAGCTTTTATTTAAAAAGAAAGCTGCCGGGTCCCTGCTTAAGAAGGGTTGACTAGTGAACTGATTTTGCAGGATTCCTTTCTTTCTTTTCTTTTCTTTTTTTCTTTTTTTTTTTTTTTTTTGTATTTTAGGGAAGGGTCTACAGGGTGTGCAGGGTCTCACTACTAGATCAGACTTGTAATGATCTGCCTGTTTATAGCCTTCCAACAGCTGGGATTATAGGCACGTGCCACCATGACCAATCTCTGGATTCATTTCATAGTGCTTAACCATCTGAACATTGAGGCCTCTGGAGGCACAATCCAAGGGGGCCTGGCTACTGCCCAAGTTGGTAGCAGGCCTCAGCATCATCATCTACATGGCGCTAATTTTTCAGAAATGTAAAATGCAGAAGTTGTGGGATCTGGGTAGCTTCTACCCAGATTTCAAAAGAAGGTGAGGGAGGTCAGGCAGTGTGCCCGAGTGGGCAATGTGAGGTTGAGTAAAGATTAAACTTAAAAGTCCAGTGGAGACCCCAGGAAGTTAAAGATGTTAGAAATATGGAACTGCTGCTGAAAAAACCATAAACAATGAATGAATCCAGCTCAAGAGAGGCTATAAGAGCTGTGACCAGCAAAACTGCAAGGGCAGGGCACCCAAGCCCTTTGGAGCTATCACCCTACAACCTGCCCCAAGTGCTGGACATGGAACTACAAGATTTAATATTTACCATTCTGGGCTTGCTTTGGTCACATTCTTTTCTATCCACCTACTTCTCCCTTTTGTTATAGAAATGTTTATCCTTTTATATTGCAAGTATTTAACTTTCTTCTTGATTTTTAAAGGGACTCATAGGTAAGAGACTATGTCTTGAGTCTCAGAAGAGCTTTGGACTTAAAGACTTTTCAGCAATGGTATAACTTTTTTTTTTTTTTTTTCTGTATTTGTAGAACTCTTTTTTTTTTATTTTTTTTTTATTTTTCAACAAATAATACACTGCATATATTCTTCTTAGTGGTTAATTGCTGTACAAGATGTGGACTTGTGATCCTATTTACAAACACCATTAGAACAAATCATTCTATTCATTAACAGAATGTAACTATATATCTATCCCAACCACTTTGAATACACAGATACAAAATGGACCTTCATCTGTATACCCCATTAGCAATGGTATAACTGTTAAGACTTTGGAAGAGGGGTCGGGGAGATGGCTCAGTAGAATAAGCGCTTGCCTGGCAAGTGCAAGGGCCTGAGTTCAATCCCCGGTTCTGACAAAAAAAAAAAAAAGACTTTGGGGCCGGGGATATAGCTCAGTGACCTAAGTGCCTGCCTGGCAAGCACAAAATCCTGAATTGGATTCCTGATACCCAAACAACAACAACAAAAATGACTTTAACGACTCTCACAAATGAACTTATTGTGTCCATAATTAGATGGACACAAGTCTGTGGGGCCCAGGGGTAGAATATTATGGTGTATATGTAAAATGTTCCCCAACATTCTTGCATATAAAAGGTGGCTGGGATGTGGGAGCACGGTGTGTGGGATATGCTGTTGAGAGGCAGGGCCTCCAGGCTGCCATGCTGAGTACCTCCCCTTCAGCAGCACCCTGCTGTTCTTGCTGCCCTGGAGCTAGCCAGCCACAGCCCAACACCATGAGCCACAGTCAGACTTCCTTCTCCTAAGTCAAGGGTCTCCAGGACGACGTCTCAGCAGCATGGAAGTGACTGATACACTTTATAAATTTTAAAGTGTACATTTCTTGGGAACGTGTATAGATATCGCTGAACTACAATAAAAATGAAAAGCAACAGAATGATAACATGGGAACAGGATAAGCATATGCTGGGCTGAGAGATGCAGAGGTATGGGAGAGGCTGGGCAAACACTTGGCCATGTGTAGGTTATGGTCATGGTCCTAGCTCTTATTCTGGGAGATGAGTTCATGACAAAATGACTAAAGAAAAGCAGGCCAACCAAGGACCAACAACGAGAGGGGTCATGAATCCAGATTAAATCTGTACACGCCAAAGGAAAAAAAACAAGCTTACTTTAGACATTTATTTCTTCAAGCTGTATTGAGATTCAAAACATTTTTTTTTTTTTTTTTTACAAAATCAGTATGTTAGTTTTTAGTCTCTTTCAGTGCTGGAAGTGAAATATATTAAAAAATTTTAAATGTACTCGACATAAATTTTGGCTAAGAAAAAGAGGACAGAACTCAATGACACAAGCACCATCCACACGGAGATGAGTGGCAGCGATGGCTGCACGGCAGCGTGAAGTCACTGAGCCTCACTGAACTGGGTGCTTAAGGTGGGTAAAAAAGCCACGCTGTGTGTACTTTATCACATACACACACATGCAAAAGAATTAGCACCCTGACAAAGTACTTGAAATAAACAATTTAAAAGGAAAAAAAAAAAAAAAGAATTAGTACCCATGAGCAGAGAGAAATAGCACAGAAGTTCTGTTTCTCCTACTTACATGATCAAAGGTGCCGAAGCATCAAACAGCACGTGTTTTGATTCTGACTGCATTTATTACGTGAACCTGATTTCTCCAAAGGACTGAGAAATTCTTAGACACTCAGATACTCAAGGAGAGAATTACATATCTATGAAAGTTAACTGAAGCGAAATATGATGGCATAGTCTAGAAAACTGCATAGATAACTGAAGTCTAAATAATTACCATCAGTTAAATTAGCAATTCTATCTCTGCGCCCCTGAACCCCAGCCAAGTGAGCTAACACCTAGATTGGAAGCTTCCTGTGTACCTGGTAGTCTTTTTTTTTTTTTTTTTAAATTTTTTTTTTTTTTTAATTTTATTTATTTATGTGTGTGTGTGCCTGTGTGGCCAGCTCAGCCCACCAGGGGGCGGGGCTGGCTGGCATGTGGTGCTGGGGGATTGAACCGCGGTCCCTGTGCTTTAGCTAAGCTTGTTCTAAGTAGGTGCTTTAGACCACTGAGCCATCTCACCAGCCCCTACCTGGTAGTCTTGAGGTATAAAGTTGTCAATGATGAGCATCTGCAGCCGAAGCTCCCGGCTGAGCTGCCGAATGTTCTCCAGCAGGCCTTCGATCTCCCTTTGGTGCTCCTGCTGGAGGTCAGCCGTCTGCAGAGAAGCACGGACGTTTACCAGCAGATATGACCTCAAATGCAAAACAGTGACACCCACAACACCGCGCTAAACTAGGCGGCCTTACGAGAGCCTATCCTGTTCTTTTATAAAAATAATGGACAAGGTAACCCTCATGGTCTAGTTTAGGTTATTAGTTACAGTTAGAGAAAAAACAATTAGCGGGCCAGCCAGACAGCTCAGTGGACTAAAGCGCCTGCTTAGGCAGAGCGCAGTGGCCAGGGTTCAATCCCCCATGTGGCATGCCATGCTGGTCCCACCCCCAGGGTGCACTGAGACCCCTGAGGTGCACTGAGTGACTGAGACTGGGTGTGGTGCCACACTCCTGTAATCCCAGTGCTTAGGAGGCTGAAAACAGAAGGATTACTACAAAACCAATCTATATACTGAGACCCTATAGACCCTGTACTAAATACATGAAAAACAAAATTAAAAACAATCAGGTTTACAGCTAACCTTAAAAACTATACAGAAGGGAGAAATATTTACCTTTAAAAGTATAAGCACACATTAAAATTATTCAAGGATTCTTAATCAAAGGAATCTCTTAACATTATAAGATAATTTTAAAGAAACTAACCTCTGATTTTGCAGCCATCAGCATAGTCCAAACTTTCTTTAGTTTTTTGGTCTTTCCCTGTGCTTCCTCCTGCAAACTGGTGTATTTTTCTTCAATATCCAAGCGCTCTTGCTATGATATAATTGGTAAACTTCAGAGTAGTTTTCATTTTTAAACAACAATATTTAACAAATGGCAAATGTTTGGTAACTTGTCCTCAAAGTAATCTATAAATCTGCTTTGAACTTTATTTACAATTATAGAGATTTAGCTTTCCACTAGGGAAGTTAAAAATCTCTGGCAAAGCATTAAAACTGAAAGTCACAAAGTTACAGCACCTCTTTTTCCTCCAGTTCTCTGCGAAGCTGCTCAGCTCTTTTCCTCCTTTCTTCCAGTTCCATGTTAGATTCTTCAAGAAGTTTCTCCTGCTCCTCAGCTTTGGCCAACAAATCAACACCACCAACTATTACCTTTTTCTCCAGAGCAGACAATTTTTCGAGCAAAGACTGATGCTCTTGCCTATTGATTAAAATGAGAATACTCTGAATTTACCAAGCATCTACTGTCCAGGATTTCCCTAAATTTGTTCAGAAATTGTACAATTTCAAAATAGAAATATAATTTTGTAACTTCTCTATATGCCACTTTGTAGTATAAATCAATTCATAATGTAATCTTAATTCAAATTTACTGATATTTTTCCTCCTACACAGAGATACTCAAAAAAGATGTCATTTTTTAAAAACATACCACATGGGTAGGATCTTCTATCCGCAAGCAGCTACATTATAGACAAAAATCAGGCTTTTAACTACTACTGAATTTTCCTGCTTATATTTCCTATTAAAAATAATGAAAGCCCGAGCCCGAGCCCGAGCCCATCTCAGTTCACTAACACTTACTGGGCTTTTAGAAGATCTTTTTCACGTTTCTCCAACTCCGCCCTAGCCTTGTTTCTTTCTTCTTCTTCCATATCTAGCTTTGTCTCCAATGCCTTTCTCTCCTCATCAATCTTTGCTTGCATTTCAACCATCTTATCTGGAGAAACTTTCTTTTTACCTGTTGGAGTCATTTAATTAGAAGTCACTAAAACAAGTCACCGTCTGAAGTTAGCTTCAACACAGACCTGCCAGGACGCCTCGATCATACAAGCAAGCATCAGCATTGTACAGAAGCCAACTCAACAGCGTCTCACTCACTGCCATTTATTACATTTCTAGCTGAGTTGATTCACTGCTACACTCAAACTGTCCCACAACCATGCAATGACATCCAAGAACCAAAGAAAGTGAAAGAGAAGCAAAATAAATGAGCAGGTAAGCAGGAAAAGAAAGATTTATATTAAAGCCAATAAAAATGATGTGTGTCCCCAAGTAACATATGTATGTTTTTTAAAAAAATACAATGACTCAATTACTTTTTCTTAATTAAGATCAAAGTCAAGTGGCTTCTCAAACTTCCTTCACCTCAATCACAAAATAAATCCACAGATCATATACATATATCAAATACAGATTAAAATATTACATAGAATTTATATCAGGCAGTTGTGTTTTCAGATGCCTTTCTATAATTTTTACTAAAAAAATTACTATATAAAATTACTAGAAAGTATTTTCAGTCATAGTATATTTTTTATTGTTTTTTTGAGATAGGTCTTGCTATAGAGCCCTGGCTGCTCTCAAACTCAGTTATCCTCCTGTGTCAGCCGCCTGAGTGCTGGGATTACAGGCGTGCGCCACCACTCCCAGCTATCATTGTATACTTTTAAAGGAAGAACTTCTATACCAATCATGTAACTTACACAGTTATCAGTAATCAGCCAGGTATTTAACAGCTGGTGAGCGGTCATGCTGTGTCATCATACTCTATGTGACCACCAAAACAGTTTATTACTCTGCCAAACTTAAATCCTTAATCTCCTAACTCCGGTTAAACAAGCCAAATGTCAAATCTAAGTAGAAACACTACCAAATATATAAAGTTAGAAAACAGTTGCCAGCTGATTATTATTATTATTATTATTATTATTATTATTATTATAATGTCCAACAGTCTTTTATGTAACAGGCAACCAATAAAAATTTGTGAATTTTAGAATTATGAAATTCATATAAAATTTAAAAGAGAAAACAAAAACTAGCTTAGTGAAATGACTGTGTAACTGAATCAGTGACAACTCATTTCTAGAAACCCAATTTCTTAGAAACATATGCTCCTTCAGAAAACCTAGCAAACTTTTCACAGAATTGTTCTGAAGCTCTCCTGAAAATTGTCACTCTCTGCTTCCTTCCCAAAGGACTGGACAAACAGCAGAAGCAGACACCTTTATGAACTGAACGTGTCTCCGCCTGAGCCCGGCCCCTGCCGCTAATAAGGGAGAGGAACTGAGATAGACATGACAGAGATAAACTATCTGAATATATTCTCTTAAGAAACAAAGAATCATTTATTGATAGATTTTATTTAACTCTTTAATACAAAATTATATCAAAAAGTCAAAATACATTATCCTCCACTTCTACAGAACTATAAATCTAAAGCAAAATGCAAGCCACAGAACAAGTTAAATAAGAAAGTAAATAAAAGCACTGATCCCAGTTCACGCTTTGGTGTGGTGTGATTCATTGCATTCCAAAAAGAAGACATGACCCTGAGGCTGGCTTGTGCGGACCGGTCGCCTGTGTGCAACCTGTTGAATTAGACTGTTAAAAAGTAACTTTTAAAATAATTTAGTTCTTTTTCCCAGTGAGTTCCTAGAAAACGCTTCCCATCAGAAATACTACTTCCTGGAAATTTGAGGGAGAAATGTACAAGTTTGGGTGTATAGTAAAAGCATGTAACTTCCTTTCTACTTCAGAATTACAACTACTTAAAAAATGACAAATATTTAAAGATCAAAATAATAGGTGTGAAGACATGGACACTACTGGAATGGAGGAAATGGTCTGATCAAAAAATGAACATACGTACTTTGGCCATCCAATCATTTTGTCAATATTTTAAAACACAGTCAGATATGGTGGCACATGCCCATGATCCCAATGCTTGGGAGGCTGAGGCAGGAGGATCACAGTGAGTTCAACCAGCTTGGGCAATATATTGAGTTCAAGCCCAGCCTGGCCCACACAGTGAGCCCTTGTCTCAAAAAAAAAAAAAAAGAAAAAAAAAAGAAAGAAAGAAAGAGAAAAAGAAAGAAAAAACAAAACAAAAAAACCCCTCAAAATCCATTAAGAGACAATAAAATAAAAATATATAAAAATATAAAAATTCATGACTCTTGATAATACTATGCCTGAATTACACTAGTAATTCAAAGTCATTCAGGTAGCTTTTCAAACTGTTAGTTTGACAACAAAAATCTTATTGTGCTCTTCTAGTGTTCATGAAAATTAGCAAGAATACATAGCTAGATTATTTATTTTTAAGACAGGGTCTTACTATGTACCTCAGAGGGGCCAGGGAGATGGCTCATTGGAATAAGTGCTTCCCTGGCAAGTGCAAGGGCCTGAGTTCATTCCCCAGTCCCACAAAAAAATAAAAAATAAAAATAAAAAATAAAAAATTTCTTCAAATAACACTTTAAGCTAAATATGAATATGTACCAACATCCTAACTAGACATTTGAAAATAAGGGATCACTAAAATTCACTTGTATATGTACTTTACATGATTTTTTTTGCCCTTTGCTTTCTTGGACTCAGGGGCTGCTAGAGTCTGGGGAAGAACTGGGGCCCTGGGGGCCAGGAGGCCTGCACCACAGAACTGGGGCCCTGGGGGGCCAGGAGGCCTGCACCACAGAACTGGGGACCTGGGGGGGTCAGGAGGCCTGTACCACAGAACACCACGGTAAAGTGATGTCTTCACACTAAACACAGGCTTCCACCCTCCAGCGGAGAAGAAACTGCAGTTTTAATTACTTCTTTTAATGTGGGCAGTGAGCCTGTAGCTCAGTGACAGAGCACTTGCCCTCTGTGACAGTGACAGTGGCTCAGTGACAGGACCCTGGGTTTGAACCCCACCACTGCCAGCGCCACCACAAAACTCATCAACCAAACCAATAAAAAAATAAAACAGCAAAACAGCAAATACCATAAAGAATATGTAATTGTGCCAAACAGAATAGCAGCATTTTCAATTGACCTCTGCCTCGTGCTCAAAACAGAGCTGTAAAGAACTGGCAAGGAAAAGCAAAAGGGAGGAACTTCCAGTGGGCTGACGGGGGTTCATTCCATTGTTGCTACACAAGCACCCACGGCACGGGTGAGAAGGGCCTGACTGTTGGCGCTAAAAAGAGAGAAATATCTGAATATGTGAAGTCATAATTTTATTCCCAAAATTTGGCTTGAATGGGTCTTTAAGAATTTGGGAAAGAGAGGAAGCTTAAAAAAAAAGAGCTCAAGTTGAGAGATTTTTGACATACTCCATATGGATACTTACCTTGTAAAAATTATTAAATTTTAAAAATGTAATGTATTTAAATAATAAAGTCTTTATAAATTCAGTAATAGTGCCAAGTGGAGTGCAAATCAATCACACCAACCTGCTTGATCTTGCAATAAGAAGTGGTAAGCAAATCGTAGACAGGAAGCATGTGCACAGAGATGAGGAGGAAAAAAAGGGAAACAATTATTTCCTTTGTCAAACAAAGAAAAACGTGTAACAGCATCATTTATAGTACAAGTGTACAAATCATTATCAAAACTGAAATAGAACTCATGTAAAAAAGAAAACATTCAATACTATGAGAGACACAATTCAGGCAAGGATAGTAAGATTTAGTCTAGGATTATAACTCAAATCAGTACCAAGAGCTCAACTAGCTGGTACACTCCCGTAAACGTTAACAGCGCAGGCCGTGTGGCTATGCTAATAACTGACATGGAACTGGGCACCTGCACGACCTGGCAAATCATCTAAAAGTACAAAACAGAAAATTAAGCCAATTTTGAAGATTAGTCATCATAACAAAATTTCCCAATGCAATGGTTCTTCTTGTATCTGTAACAGGTGTGCTCCATTTTAAGAAAATATAACACAAAACCTGAAAGAACTAAAAACATGTATTTGTTTATAGTAACTTGTATTGGTTATTTGATTTTGACAAATTTTATGAAGAATGTTTTAAAGACAGGAATTTCGCAGTATACTTGGTTTTCCAAGTTAATTTGTAAGCATTTTTAAGGAAAAAAAAATCGCTACATAAAATGAAGTACATCTGTACAGTAACAAACTTACACTCAACCTATTAGTAGACTGTTAAGGATAATCGTAATGATGATTCTACAGAAATAAAAGACAATTGATGATTCAAGCAAGGGACACCTGAAAAAAGGACATTCATGTTTTTAAAAGGAAGGACAGACACACACAAATCACACAAGCAATCACATGCTGGGACGTCTCTCCATTTCACCAAATCCCCTACGTTACAACAGCAAAATGTCATGTGCTCGATGTGCAAATTGCAACTAAAACTTGAGTTGAAGAAAGTACAACTCAGGAAATAATGCACTTTTTCATAGCACGTAGAACTAAGGTAAGCTATAAAATAGAAAATTAAAATTTTAATGCTTCTTCCTCACATTTTAGTTTCTAATATAAAATTATACTTCTATATGGTCTCTAAAGTAACTTCCTGTATTTTATAAATTATATTCAAGTTAATTTTTTTGTTTTCTATTTTTTGAGACAGTATCTCATTATGTAGTTCAGGCTGGCTTGGAACTCATTATGTAGCCCAGGCTGGCCTCAAACTTGCAATGATTTATCCTCCTGCCTCAGCCTCCCAAGTACTGTGACTACAGGAAGGAGCCACCATGCCCAGCACTCTGAAACTGTTTCGATAATTTGCTTAAAAAGTATCAACAGACAAAAAGAATTTAGACATTCTTGGAACTCTTCCTCTAGAAAGCTAAAAGTATAGGAACAATACACAATCCTTTTTGTTATTGGTCTTGAGAAAGTAAGTGCTGTACATTGATAATGCTTTAAAAGACAGTAAGCTGCAAACTGGCACAAGAAAGCAAGAACTTCCCTTTCTTCTAAAAATAAAATATATATAGACAAAATTAAATAATTTTCAACTTAAATTTAAGAGAAAGGTCTTTAATTTTGAAATCAGTCTAGACACACATAATATTAACTTTTTCATGTGATTCCAAATTCCTTAATCATACTTTAGACATTTCTTAAAATCAGGTAAATGAGAAATGGGGAATAAATATCGATTTTTAAAAAAGCACTACTCAATTTATCTTCATTTGTTTTAAACTTTCACATTTTTCTTTGTGAGCCTTCAATCTTAAGCTACTGCTGAGAATAGGACACCCCACAGCATAAATTGTTTACAACTGCATTATATGGGTACTGGTATATGGCCAATATAATCTGCAGGTTTGGAAATTCAGAATTTGTGGTTACATGTCAGTAGTACTGACAAGGACTAAGATTTTATAATGAAACAAAAAAGGACCATAATAATTATTCTTTTGCACAGCTTACTACCTCTCTTCACATTATCTCAACTGCAAAAGCATGAATCTCTCTTCCATTGTCTTGAACGTAAGCTAAACATATGTTTCCAACATATGTTTGAACAATCATGGTTAACAGAAGCAATGCAGGGTGGGATCAACACATGCTTTGCTCTATGGAGAAGTCCAACATGTATCTGTATTCTTCAAGTAATGACAGGGAGCAGTGCGGCATTTCTCAAACGAAGCCCATGGGTTATGGAAAAGCCAAAGCTCTGTTAGAGAACTGAAGAGCTGCCACTCACTAGGCAAGAACTTATCCAGAGGTTTCTCTAGGACAGAACATGTAGAGTCTGAACTACTGCTGCTGCTACTGCCTAGAAGACAAAGAAATAAGCCCAACGGGAACCAAACAAAGAGGAAACAAAATGAACACATAGAGAAAAATTCAGTTCCAGAGCAAGAATTTTAAAGGACAATCAAGTTTTGTATTAATGAATCAAAACTTACTTTCCCTTAAGATCAATCTTGGTAGTTGCCTAGCCAGTATTTTCTATTTCATATTTACTATGGACAAATCCCACTACTCATTTAAAAAGCAATCATTTAGAGGGCTCAAAGTATGAGAACAAAAAGAACTAAGTCACTTGGTGACGGTGTCTATTTAAACTTTTCAGTTTGGTAAGTTAAAGGGACTAAGTTTTTTGTTCTTTTTTTTTTTTTTGGTGTGGAACCAGGGATTGAACTCAGACCTTTGCGCTTGCCAGGGAAGCGCTTATTCCACTGAGCCATTTCCCCAGCCCCAAGGGACTAAGTTTTAAAACTTAGTCCACACAATGCTCCAGCAATGACAAGTTACCCCTCATCAGAGACAGGATGTCCTTCTCCAATTTCCCTTTCTCCCCTCAAAATATCAAACCTTTGAATGTAACTATGTATGCTTAAGGTTTGATAGCAAAATCGAAAAGGTTCACGGAAAAGTTGAAATTTCTAGCCTACAAGAAAGGTATAGTACTATTAAATATTTTAGTATGTTAAACCACGGCATTTTTCTACTTAAATTTTTATTTTATTTTATTTTTTTTTAAATTTTATTTATTTGTGTGTGTGTGTGTGTGGCAGCTCAGCCCACCAGGGGGCGGGCTGGCTGGCATGTGGTGCTGGGGGATTGAACCGCGGTCCCTGTGCTTTGCTTTGCTAAGCTTGTTCTAAGTAGGTGCTTTAGACCACTGAGCCATCTCACCAGCCCCTAAATTTTTATTTTAAATGAAGCTTTTATGTGCTTTGGCTTGGAAAAGAATAGTTTATGCTGAAGAACTCAGTGTAACAGGCATTTCTGCAGAAAACCAGACACGGTAAGCACTCGGCTCTGCAGGCCAAGCTCCTGGGGAGCAGCCACAGCCCAGACCCAGAGGGGCGTGACCAGCCTGGAACTGCACTAACTACGCACACTGGGTGTGCTGCCACATCTTGCTCTCTACCATGCTTCGCCTGTCTTTTGAATTTAAACTAATTTTAAATTTGGGTTATCTGCTCAAGCTGTAATGGGTCTATTTTCAACAAGATCATTTAAATAAGACAAGCGAAATAATGCACCAGCTTGAAAACAATGAACCACATTAATGGAAGAGAGTTCTGAAATAAGTATTTTGGCTAAGAGGGTTTGAAATGCAGGCATTATAATATGCCGTCTCTTTTGCACGCTCCCTCCACCCTTAGCACGACGCAGTCTTACTCGTGCTTATTAGCAGATATGACAGAGTCAGGAGGAGAGTAATGCCTTATAAAGAAAAATAACTTAAAAATCCTCATATGAATTTATTATTTAAAATTTTAATGACTTCTAAAAAGTAACCTCACTTCAGGGAAACATCCATATTATCCTAATTTCCTAAAAATGTAGGTTTTGAACCCAATTAAAAGTCCCGCACATAAAACTAAAACCTTAAATAAATTTCAAAATGGTATAACTAGTATCACAGATTTTTACAATTCTAAAAAATGAACAAAAGACTAGATAGTATAGTACTACTGTAAATCAGCTATAAACAGATCAGAATAGAAGAAAAACTGCAGTTAACAAGGCATATGACATACATCCTGCTTTCTAATTGCTGTGACAACTAGAAATGGCAAATAAAGGCATGCACTCTACTGCCTACGGCACGTAAAAGCACTGTCAGACGGCAGCTCATTCATTGCCACAACTGGAGCCTTAAGCCGCACTCACCCCTCCTCCTTTTCCTTTTCTCTCCGTCTTCTCCAACCTCACCCTCTTCATCGTCATCTTCCTCTGACCCGCTGATATCAGAGCCTGATATTTCTTCCCCTTAGAAATGTAATGCAAAGTTTTAGCTTTACTATGTCACTGGCTGGTCAGGAAATACTTATGTCAATTTTCTACATTAAATCTTGGTTGCTCCAAACACAAATTTAAATGCTATTTAACTGCTTTCCAAAACACACTGGAAGGGCCAGCCAAATAGCTCAGCAGATTAAAGCCCATGCAAGTGGGTGCAGGGGCTAGGGGCTCGACCCCCAGGCCTGCCATGCCGGCCCCACCCCCGGGGCACCCTGCAACGGCAATTGAGACTGGGTGTGGTGGCGCACGCCTATGATCCCAGTTTTTGGGAGGCTGTAAACAGGCGGATCACTAAGAGTCTGATCTAGTAGGGAGACCCTGAATATCCTGTAGACTCTTCCCCCCACCAAAAAAAAAAAAAAACCACACACACACACTGGATATGTGAAATATTTAAGCTATACACAGAGACTTTATTTTTAAAGTCTCAAAACATAAGTTAAACTCTTGCTGAGGCAGGAGGATCACTAAGAATTTAGAGACCAGCCTGGGCTACAAAGTGAGCTCAAGGCGAGCCTGAACTATACAGCAAGACCCTTTCTCAAAAAGACAAAAGAAAAGTTAAACTCTGACCCAATTAAAATTCCAAACTGGGGCTGGGGAGATAGCTCGGTAGAGTAAGCACTTGCTGGGCAAGTGCAAGGGCCTGAGTTTAATCCCCGGTTCCACCAAAACGACAACAACAAAAATTCCAAACCATGATGTAAGTACAGCTATAAATATGTATATCAATCATGTTAGAGCAATTAAGTCTTTTAAAAATGTGATTACATTGATGGAGCACTTTATCCTTATTTTTCTCTTTAAGATTTTAAATAATTCATTCAACCAGTATCTTTTTGTCTCTCTCTCTCTCTTTTTTTGGTGCTGGGAATCAAACTCAGGACCTTGCACTTGCCAGGCAGGAACTGTGCCACTGAGCTATATTCCCAGGCCTCAATTAGTATTTTTTATTTTTATTTATTTATTTATTTTGGTGTGTGCGTGTGTGTGGCTGGCTCAGCCCGCACCTGGGGTGTGGATGGCGTGGCATGTGGCGCCCGAGAGCAGATACAACTAGGTCTCTGTGCCTGCCTAAGGTGGCCTAAGCAGGCACTTTAGACTGCTGAGCTACCTCGCTGGCCCGTCAACTAGTATCCTTTGAAGAGTCATAAAACTGTCACCTAACACGGTGATTTCATTTTTAGGACTATGTCACACAAACTATTTCAAAAGTTGAACTTACTTACAAAGGTAATGTTAACTATGTATTGACTTAAAGACAAAAATACAACAAAAGCAATTAACTAATGTTAATGCAGATTAGTGCTACATTAACTTCAAGTTAGTTATTTGAAAATATCGTCATCCACAAACGAAATGTTTAAGAAAACAAAGATAACTGGGAGGAAAAAGAAAATACAAATCAAAACCAAGTAAGTTGTTCCTATAAGCAAATATGCAGAGAAAATAGAGTCTTAGGCAAATAAATCACTAAAACTATTTTGTCCCTTTGGCTGAGACACAGAGGTGGCTTGGCAAAGGTGAGCAAGCGCACCGAGCAGCCAAGCTGTGGGGTCTAACCACATTCTGTAGAGAAGGCACCTGGGAGAGACAGATGCCCCTAAGGTCTCAGTAACGAAGATGCAAGGTTAGCTTAAAACATCTTGTAGTATCAGTAAAAAGAGAAGCGCTTAAGAATAACCAGATGGAGGCCAGGGAGATAGCTCAGCAGAATAGGTGCCGGCCTGGCAAACACACGGTCCTGAGTTCAGTCCCCTGTACTGAACTCAAAAACAAACAAACAAAAACCCAACAGTGTCAAGAATAACCTGATGGCAACATGCTGACTATGAACAGCAACTCCCTCCAGGGGCCTCCAATGGCCCACACGAGGACAATTTAAGAAACAAAATAAATTATGATAGCATTGGGCTATAATCTATGGCTAAATACTTGATAAAATAAACAGAGGAAAAAGGAACCTTCTTTCTTAAAACAGAATTCTAAACACCAAGCACCAAAAGAACGATGAGAATAGAGTCATCACAAAGCAAATGCCACAGAATTACTGTTTCAGGCAAGAACCGTGGATGGACACTAATCCACAGAAGTATGATGAGAGATCCTGCCTCCCAGCCACACCAATTACAAACAAACAAACAAAAAATAACACACAGTGGGGATGCCTCACCAAGCAGCTATGAGAAAACTGTAGACAAACTCAAATGAAGCAATGTTTTACCAAATACATGACCAGAAGTATGGCTCTTAAAGACAAAGACTGAGGAGACTAAGAAGATGTGACAAATCCAATAAGAAGATGTGACAAATCCAATGTGACCCTAGGTCAAATTCTTGACTTTAAAAAAAGACTGGGAGGAAAATAGGCAAAATGTGAATGAAATCTGTAGGTTAGCTAGTAAGTTCAGTAACAGAACTGTAGTTACATTAGATTTTATATTAGCAGTAACTAACTGGGTAAAGGGTGGATAGGAACTCTCTGTACCATATATATATATATAATTTTAAAGTAAAAAGGTTAGAAAATTAATGTTTCAATGCTTTCGCTGACTTTTTATTGTCCATGTGATCAATCCTATTAATGAGCTCATAAAAACTGAAAGCACGGAGTCATAAGAAACCAAAACAACGAAGTATGTTAAAAAATAGTATTGCCACGTGACCCAGCTGTTCTACTTCCGGCACGTTCTCCAACTTGAAGCAAGCATAGGTGTTTGCACACCCACATACACAGCAGTAGTATTCACACAGGCCAAAGCAATCCAAGTATCTGTGACAGATGAGTGGATGAACCAAATACAGCACAAACATACAAGGAATCTTTTTCAGCCTTAAGGAGGAAGGAAATTTGAACATGCTACAGTATGGATGAGCCGAAAAGGCATTATACCCTGCAAACAAGCCAGACAGAAAGGGCAAATACTGTGTGACTTTACTTATACAAGGTGCCCAGAAGAGTGAAGTGCACAGAAAACAGCAAGGTGTTTCAGGGACTAGCGTGAGAAAGAAACAGGGAGTCAGTATTGGTGAGGGACAGAATTGTTGTCTGAGATGATGGAAAAGTTCTGAAGATGAACTGTGATGGTTTTACAACAATGTGAATGTAACTTTTTTTTTTTTTTTAACGGAACCAGGGATTGAGCTCAGGCCCTTACACTTGCCAGGCAAGCGCTTATTAAACTGAGCTATCTCCCCGGCCCGTGAATGTAACTTCTATACCATCAATACGTAAACTTTAACATGATAAGTTTATGTTGCCACATAAAAACACAAATAGCCAGGCGCAGTGGCACACGCCTGCAATCCCAGCAATTGGGAGGCTGAGGCAGGAGTATCACTGCACCTTCAGGGCCAGCCTGGGCTACAATGTGAGTTCTAGGCCAGCCAGAATTGCATAGTGAAATCCTACCTCAAAAGGAAGAAAAAAAAAAAAAAAAAAAAAAAGACAAAGAATAAACCGCAAAAGAAAGGCATACACTTAGGACTAACCTTAAAAATTTTTATAACATACTGGCTATAAATACCACCTAGTGGTCACATTTGAAACACCAAACTTCATTATCGCCACTGCTTTTCCTCAATACTCTCCCTCAAGTTTACGGAACCAGTACCTTCTCCCACCGCTGGTGATGGGCTCACGACCTGGATTTCACCTCTGAGCCAACCAGCTTCCCCCCGGAGGGCAAGGGCTCAGTCTAACAGCCCTGTTTCCCGGGCTTTGTCTCCAGCGCAGAAGTGCAGCGCTCTACGATGCAGGGCAGCCACACACCCTCCTGAGGAAGAACCTCAAATTTTCTAACTTTCTAGTATTATCTTGCTAGAAAATAATTTTCAAAGGCTCATGTTCAAATTTAAGTGTAAAAGCTTATTTAAGGCCATGCAGTGCCTCTTTACTCAGAGCGAGCTTTGTTACTCCTGAGCATCCCACGTCTTTTTTTACTTCAAACAATAGTGAGCTGAGCTGATAACTGCAAAGCCAGACTGTGGTCATTTTCATCTAGATACACACACAGTTGAATGTGCTTATACGAAGATAAAATTTCTTGTTTTTGTTTTTGTTTTTTGCGGCACTGGGGATTGAACTGAGGACCTTGCGCTTGCCAGGCAAGCACTTACTGTGCTGAGCTATTTCCCCAGCCCTCGATAAAATTTCATTGCTGCACAAGTGGCCATAGGAAATCTTCAAAAGGCCATGGGGATAAAGACAGCCCAATTTCGGGGAGATTTCACCTTTTTTTAGAACAAAATATGCAAATATTATACACTCTTAAGCCTAATACGAAAAGGCTGAAGTCTGTAAGTATGAAGTTGCTTTCCAGAACGTTTTTCAAATCTGAATGCCACAGGCGCAAACACTGCCCAGTAGGTGGCTTTGTAAAAACACTCTGCAGCCCAAAGCGCCTTCAGCCAGCACGCAGACTAGCATTCTGCGAGGAGCTTACCTTCTTCAAGCTTCTTCTTCAGTTCTTCTATTTCTTTCTGAAACTGACGAAGCAGAGCATCCTTTGGGTCTTCATTAATTCTAGCTTTATTTTTAATATTCTTAGCACGATTGGCATACCGTAACGTACTGATAGTTTCATCATAATTGTAATCTGCTGGCCCAATATTTGCACACTGTTGGATCAAAAGTACAAAACATTTTCCATTACTAGTTAATGCTACCATTACAAATATAATCAAAATGTTTGAAACATATATGCACTTTGGCCTTCTTGAAGACAGTATTGATCACATGGCTTCAGATGACACAACTGTGGATTAAGAGAGACAGCTTACTATAAAAAGATAACCACAAGTCAAGAAAAATAGATAACAGATTTTTAAATGTTACGTGTACCAATTACGGGCATAAGCTGAAGTCTACCGCCTGATACAAGACAAGGCTCACCATCATGGTTTTCGAGTTTCCACCTAAAGAATCCTGAAGAAGACGAGTCAGCTTGGAGTTACGGTAAGGCACGTGAGTGCTTTTTCCATCAACCAAGGCAGAAATCACATTACCAAGTGTGGAAAGTGAAAGATTGATTTTTGTAGCTTCCTTTAGACGTTGTCCTGTAGCTCCAGTTTTTGCTTGTCTTTCTGAGCCCTAGCAATAAACAGACATGAAAGTTGAGTTGAAACAAAAAATACAGAATATTCTCCCTGAGATTTTTTTTTTTTTTTTTTTTTGGGGGGGGGTCTTTTTGAGACAGGGTTTCACAGCGCAGTTCCGGCTGGCCTTGAACTCACTCTGTAGCCCAGGCTGGCCTCAAACTCTCAGCGATCCTTCTGCCCTAGCCAGCCAAGTGCTGGGATTACAGATATGCACCATGCCATCCTGCCTGTTCCCAAGATTTTTAAAAAATAAGCTAACAGCAAGTAAGAAGGGATGAGAAGTGGGAGAGAGCAGATGAAGCGAGACTGAACCCAGGGGGGCATCACACTGTTCATACCCCTGAACTAGTCCATAACGCACAGTACGTTAAACACATATAAGCAGCTTCTAAAAGATTATATGTAAGTCATACCTTTTCATTTTAATTTTTATTTATCTCTGAGATAAACATTATAAGAAAAACTCCGTCAGCACCCCACTACTCACAGCCAGGTCCACGAGATGTAGCTTGCCCATCCTGACGTGCATGTTGCCATCCACGCCCTTCTCGCTGCACTCAATGGTGATAGTGAAGATGGCATGGGAGCGGGAGCTGTGCTCGTTCATGTTGGTGGCGCCCACAGAGCCTGGGAGAAGGGGCAAGTTAGTCATACTCGTGCTCAATGCCTAATTTCATCACGATCAAAAGGTAGAGAGCATGGCGAAGCCATGAAAGTGCTGACGGGCTCTTCTGCTTCAGTCCGCCATCGAGCGCGTGCGCTCGCCTCCTACCCGCACCATGTCTTCTCACAAGCCTTTCAGAACCAAACAACCCCTGGCCAGGAAGCAAAAGCAGAATCACCCCATTCCTCAGTGGATTCGTATGAAGACAGGTAATAAATCAGGTACAACTCCAGGAGGAGAACTGGAGGAGGACCAGGCTAGGACTGTAAGGCGCTGCACATGAGCTGCAGCATCTTTACCCTCTGGGAGGTCACAAGACGATGTCATCTTGTAATCATGGTCAAGACAATAATGAATAAAGTTTTAAAAATAAAAAATTTTAAAAAGTAAGTGCTGATGTGCATTTAGCTATTCCATGAACAAGTCCTTATAGTTTATGTTAAGAATGGTGTCAAACCCACTGACTGAAGACACTCTGTGAGCACTTATTTGGGCGTGGTGCTGCACCCCAGGGGCCAGCTACGGGGAGGCTGCGGGAGGAGGGGCTAGGCAGCACTGCAGCTCGAGACCAGCCTAGGCAACAAGAAGCACAACTGCACATACAATCACACTTAGAGATACATGTTAAATATTTGGAAGCATTTTCGCTGGCTCTGCTATCTCTGAAGAGAATTATATTTTGGGGCCTGACCCACAGAAATACACAAACAAGAATATTCAGTCCTCAACTATTTACAACAGTGAAAGACTAGTAACCACCAATAAGACCTTGGTTACATGGGTAGAGAGCAATCACATTAGCAGGGGTTTTGCGGGCTCAGGCTGCCTTAACAAGGCGGCAGGCATGGTGTGGTATGTGGAGCTGGGTTGAGCTGCTGTCCTGTCAGCCTGACTGCGTTTGCCCACGCGGGCACTTAAACATCTGAGCTAACCAGCAAGCCCCCAGCAGTTTTTTTTCAAAAAGATAGGCCTATGTCAAATTACATGAAAAGATGCTTTATAATACATGAAGTTGTTAAAAAGCCAAGTCAGAGAGGAACATACTAAGATTTCGGTATGTCATTTACATGAATAGATTGTATAATAGGCATGTATTTAGTTTTTCTTAAATCCTGAAGTACTTTAAAAACATTAATTTTAGCCAATGCCCAAACTATCTTTCTACTGTACATATTCATGCAGAACGTTTCTATGCATGCTTTAATTTCCAGTTTAGTCATTAAAGTATATTCGCCATTAGCATGTGACTATTAGAAGTCATGTGACTTTAATGTAAATTGTCCTAATACACTAAAAGCCCAGGGGCTGGCAAGATAGCTCAACAGACTAAGCACCTGCTTAGGCAAACGCACGGACCCAAGTTCGATCCCAGGCACTACATGCCACACCAGCCTGCTCCCGTGTGTGCTGAGCTGGCCAAGACGCGCATGGTGGTACACGCCTGTAATCCCAGCACTGGAGAGGCTGAGGCAGGAGGATCACTACAAGTCAGAGCTGCACAGTGAAACCCTATACCAAATATATTTTAAAAATAATAAAAATAAAATAATGCCCAATGAAAAAAGGTAAATGAAAAATTAGTGAACAAATAAACTACATATGTGAGGTGACAAACACGAATCACCCTGATCTGATCATACACATGTACTAAAATGTCACACTACATTCCATAAACATTTATAATCACTGTGTCAACAAAAAAATTAAAAATATATGCACATACAGATTTTTTTGGGGGGTGCTCTTTTTTGAGAGAGGGTCTCGCTATGCAGTTCTGGCTGGTCTAGAGCTCATTTTGTAGCCCAGGCTGATCTTGAATGTGCAACAATCCTGCCTCAGCCTCCCAAAACATGTATTTTGAAAAGCACTTTACCATGAAAGAAAATATGAAGTTTTAGATCATGATGCGCATGCTATGATATTCAGAGAGAAGAGTACTGACTTTGGGGAATTTATTTTTGTTTTGTTCAGGTTTATTTTTTAAAGACAGGTCTCGCTAAGTAATCCAGCCTGGCCTCAACCTTGTGGTGATCCTCCCGCCTCAGCCTTCTGAGTACTGGGATTACAGGTGTGCACCACTACTGGGTAACTTACTTTTGAATTCTGTGATGATAATGCAGAGGAAACTGAGCAGACACGGAGGAAAGCAAGGGGAAAGTTCTGTGCTAATACTGTGTGGACAGTATTTCTTGCCTCTATCTTATACTCTGAATAATTACTACAAAGATAACAATATGCAATGTATTAATTATTGTTACTGTCCTACTGCCCTATTTTGAAACTATTTTTATTTTTTCTTTCTCTCTTTAAAACTGGAAAAAAAAAAAAAAAAGCAAGGAAAGTAGTATGTTCATGGTAGACTCATAAAAATGCTTACTATAGGAGCCGGGGCTGGCAAGCACAAGGTCCCAAGTTCAATCCCCAGGATCACACACACAAAAATAAGCTTACTATAGAAATGCTGAGCTTACCTGTATGTTTGAAAATGTTCATAATGAACATTGTGGCAAAATGAAAACAGAATAATTAAAGATGTAAAACAATTACTTAAAGAAACAATGGGATTTAAGATTCTATACTATACTTTCTAATTTCTTTTAAATAAAATAAGTCTCTCCCACTGTTATGGTTTGTGTTTAGTTGTCTCCCCAAAACGTCATACAGTCATGGGGGAGAGACTTCTAGAGTTTGTGATTAACGCATGATCCACTGGGATTATGGGTGTGAGTGCTGCTGGGATTAGGGGCAGCCTGGGGCATATGGCCTGCATGCAACTCAAGGGAGACAGACTTGCTGTCTGCAGTCACTGTTGCCGCTACTCTTTCCATTTGCTCTTGCTGTTTTCCACCGCCATGAACCGCTGCCCTCTGTCATGTTCCAGTGTGTCGTGGAGCCAGCTGAGTATGGACTGAAGCCTCCAGTAACTGTAAGCTAAATAAACCTTTCCTTCCTTCATTTTGGGTGTCAGGTATTTGTCCCAGAAACAAGAGTAACTGAGACAATCACAAACTAGAAAGCGTTATGAAATTTGATACCAGTTGAAATCAATTGACTAGTAAGTGATACACAGACTATTAGGTCTTATTTTATCTTCTGGATTTTTTTCCATTTAACATTATCTCCTATGTGTGTAGTGTTTTGTACTATATTTATGTAACTATTAATGATTTTTACATTGTTTATATCTGAAAATATTTTTCTAGAGTATCATCTAAAATCGGAAACAATAGGCCTAAAGAATGTACTTTTAAAATACATTGGGGCTGGGGAGATGGCTCAGTAGGATAAGCGCTTGACCGGCAAACGCAAGGATCTGAGTTCAATCCCCGGTTCCGCAAAAAAATAAAATAAAATAAAATACGTTAAATACAATGTCATCAAAAATGCTATACCAATTTCCATTTCAGTCCCAGTACATGGATCTTCAAAGTAATACGGAATTTGGAGATCCTTCATTCAACTTGCTGGGTGAAATATTTCTCATTGTTTTGATGTGTATTCTTCTGATTACTTGTGAAATTAATATCTGTATTATATGTATGTAGCTATAGGGGAGTTTCACAGAGTACCATAATTAAAAAGAAATAAAAATTTTGGTCAGCATAGAAAACAATCCTGTGTTATTTTTCTTCACATATGTGTCTTTACAGAGTATCGAGTGAAAGAGTTATTTTTCAAGAAACCTAAAAACCCAGCATCTTTAGGGCAAAGTGCTACAAGTTTTATTTCTCAACCAGTCTACTCAACATCACAGTTACGACTATACTTACGATTTTTGTGGCCTAGCGTCATAATTCTATCCATATCATCAGCATTATTTACTACATAAGCTGATAAATCTTTGATATAAACTCCCACATCAGGTCTTTCTTTAACCTAAAACAAACAAACAAATAAATGAATAAATACACACTTTATATCAGTAATGCTTCCATAATTACACATTGAACATCTACTATGAGTTTGGTACTCTATAAGATAGTAAAGTTATGGATATGAACAAAATGCAGACCCTTCATCCATGCGGCAAAAACGGATAAGACAAGCAGACAAATCATTGCATTTCAGCTGTGATGATGCTATAAAGAAAAAGCACAAGACAGTACGGGAATATACTAGACTGTACAGCAGTGAAGCGGCCACGATAAACTGCCCCAAGATGAGGTTTAAACTAAAATCTGAAGAAATCAGAGGTAGGCTGTCTAGTTCAGGATAGGGAGGACAGGAAAATGTGCAACAATCCTGCCATGAGGTGGGGGACCTAGGCATTTATAAAAAATAAACAAGCAAAAGAGAGGGTAGCTGGAAAAACAAACCAGGGTGCTTGCGGGTTAGCTCACTGTCTAAAGCACCTGCTTGTGCAAACTCAGTCAGGCCCAGAGGACTGAGGTTCCATCTCCAGCACCACATGCCATACCAGACCCACCCTTAAGGCAGCCTGAGCCAGCCAAAAAAACAAAAAAAAAAAAAAAGAAAAGAAAGAATCTTTCTAAGGGCCAGCCAAATCAATCCCAGTTCTTGGGAGGCTCAACCCAGGCTGACCACTACGGATCACTATGAGTCTGATCTATGTAGTCAGACCCAGTAGACCCTGTACTAAATACAAAAAGAAAAAAAAGAAAAAGAAAGAAAGAGAAAACCAGATATTTGGTTGTAGAGAGAGGCAGAGACAAGCCTAAGAATAGGCCTCAGCCCATTATGGTAGCAGCAATTTAAGCAGTGACACTGAAGAGGACGCTGGGGGACCCAGAGGTCTTGGAGACCAGACAACTTCCAGGGAGAGCCACACCTGAGTCTGTTTTGATGTGCTCCCTCTATGTCAGGTGTGGCCTGATAAAGATCTTCAAAGGCTTTAAATCTTTCTAAAAGTTTAAAAATGATCAGTTTCTATCAATACTTCTCCAAAGGGTATGGATAGGACTACTGTGGAAGACAAAGTGTACATTTCTAATCTGGCACACTGAAATTTTTACAGAAATACAAAAATCATGCACTTGGTTGCCACAACAATGAAAAATGGCTACGAAATTTTTAGGCATCTATTCTCACTTTCTGTACTCATCTCACTGCCCCCTGGAAGCAAACATTCTTCAAACTAGTATCTGTCTATGAATTACTGGTTGCTATCAACTCTATAAAGTTTTTTGTAATCACAATATATAATTCAAAATTGAGTGAATATGTATAGATGAATTAGATATAAAATATGAAAAAATAAAAGTTTGAATTTTTAAAGTTAAAAAAGGTGGATGGCAATGCTACCAGAGAAATTTGACCATGAGCTAGGGTACAGCTCAGTGGTACAGTGTGTGCTCAGCATGCACAAAGCCCTGGTTTCATCCAGAACCCTAACAGCAGGCCTTTATATCATAAAAGCCATCAACTTAATTTTTAAAACTTTTTCTTATGTATTCGGTACAGGGTCTCACTATGCAGCTCGAACTTGCAGTGGTTCTTCTGTTTCAGCCTCCCCAGCGCTGGGATTACAGGCGTGCACAACCACCCCTGGACTCAGTGGCCAGCTCAGCGCACCTGGGGAGGGCCAGCACGGTATGTGGTACTGGGGATTGAACCCAGGTCCTTGCACTTGCCTAGGCAGGCACTCAGACCGCTGAGCTATCTCTGCGGCCCCATCAACTTAATTTTTATAACAAACATACCTGTTACCCACACCCAGAATGTTGTAGAAATCTGTGAGGGGTTCAGGTTCATTGAAAAGCAATTAGCACTTAGAGGTAGGGACCAAGATAGTAAACCTTCTGAGTATGACCCAAAGCAGAACATCCAAACAATGACTGATGTCCTACCAGATAGACACATGGATTACAAAAAACTACCCACAATTATGTGAGTGTAAGACCCAGATAATTACATCTATATACAGCTTTAAAGACAAGTGCTGGGCCAGGGAGATACCTCAGTGGCATATGCACCTGTCTGGCAAGCATAAGGTCCCAAGTTCTATCTCCTGTATCTCAAAAAAAAAAAAAAAAAAAAGTGCTTTCCCACAGTAACAGTAATAATGACAACAATATAACATAGTCATAAAGGGAAAACTGAGGAAAAAACTATTTTTCTCAGAATTTTATCAAGGGCTAGTCATTGCTCTAAAAGACTGTAACACTGACAACAGCACCGATCAATACTAATGTACCTGTGACAGGCTGCATCTGCAGTGACTGCAGTCACAGTGACTGTACATGCCTTTGACTATCTTACCATGTCGTCAACTGTGTCCCATCTAAATACACATTAAGCATGAGCTCCTTCCTCCCGCACTGTAGGAGCTAAGTCCAAGGAGCAATGAGCTACTTCTCCAGACTTTTTATATTGTTAGTCTGAGACAGAATCTCACCAAAGTACCCACGCTGGCCTAGATGTTCAATCCTCCTGCCTCAACTTCTCTGTGCATGGCTGCATTTTATTTTTTACTAATTGCTACTGTACCTTATGTTCTAGCTAAGCAGTATGTCAATCTTTAAAATTGTGTGTAAATTTAATCACCTATGAAGTTCATATCAGAACAGTTGGAAGGATATTATAAAATCTTATAAAAAGGAGCTCTATGTCTAATAGGGTTCAGAATCACTATCAAGAATGTTCTGAGGGACACAGCTCAGTGGTACAGCAACTGCCTGGCAAGCACGAGGTCCTGTGTTCAATTCCTAGTACCAAGAAACAAAAAAGAAAAGAAAAAGAATGTCCCCTTCAGGAGGCTGAGACAGGAAGACCACTGAGAGTTCAAGCCCAGCCTAAAGTATAGACCCTGTCTCAAAAAAAAAAAAAAAGAATATTTTCCAGAATCTGCTCCTGAAAATAAATCTGATCTACAATTATGAGTCCAAAAACAGAAATATTCTTTGTAAATTATTTTTCTCTAAGAATCTGTATAATAAAACATTTTTAGGAAGTAAGGACAGTATAACAAAGTATCCATCAAAAAACTAAAGAAAGAGGACAACTGGCAACAAAAAGTTGTTTCTACATTTGGTATGTACTTGTAATCAATGCAGAATAAATATTGACTATTCAATAAGTACAGACAATCCCTAATGCTCTAATACACTGCTCCAAAACTCTACTTATATAAACTTTTCTTAAAAAGCTAGTATTTACTGAATATTATGTGTAACGCATTTAATCAGTTTAAATTTGTTAAAATTGGTAATAATCCTATAAGGTAGACCCTGTTATCATTTTAATTTTCACTTGAGGAAACTGAAGCTAAGAGATATTAAGTCAGAGGTTACAAAACCAAGATCAGAGCCAGAATCCATGGTCCAACAGCAAGACCCCACACCTCTCCCCTTAATCCTGACTGACACTACTGTTCACCTGCCACATGTAAATGAATCATCTCCCTACGCTCCTGTGCCACATCAGTGGGAGTGTCACCAGGGAGCACTCCATGAAATGAGGGACGTGGTTACTGCTCTCTGCACCGAGGGCCTAAAGCACACTGCAAGAGCGCAGTCCTGAGGCAGCTGCGGTGCACACACATTCTATACAATCCTGAAACTGCGGCTCCTCGTAGTCTAGCTTCCATTCTGCTACTCCACACCCATTTTTTAAAAAGTTTTCTTTTTTAGTCTTTTTTTGAGACAGGGTCTCACTATGCAGTTCAGGCTGGCTTTGAACTCACATGTCCTCTTGACTCAGCCTCCCAAGTGCTGGGATTACAGGCGTGTGCCTCTATGCCCAGCTCCACACAGTATTCTCTTACTATTTTAATGCCAATCAAAATTTCAATATTAATATTTTAAAGGCTTAGGAGCCAGGGAGATAGCTAGTAGAATAAGCAAGTGCTTGCCTGGCAAGCACAAGATCCTGAGTTCAAACCCTGGTACCATGAAAAAAAAAGGCTAGTCTTTCCTTGTTGCTTGTGAATGTTAAAAACTGGCAATATCTATCAATCAGCCAACAATTTACCACCTGACTCAGCAGTCTTGCCTCAGTAGTTATACAAGAAAAAAAAATGAGGTCATTTAAAATACTAAAAATACCTTTTATATAAAAAGGACCTTACTTTGGTAAATATTCTACCAAGTGGAAAGTACTTCCATTTCAGTGAGCCTTACCTCTAACCGCTGTGTCTGGTCCTTGCCCAAAAGGTCACGAACTTCTTCATTATATATTTCTAAATATGACACTCGAACTAAAAATCTATAAATAAAATATTATTAGTACAAAGAAAGCAGTAAAATCTTTATCTTCTTAAAAGTTTACAAAATGTGTATCTATATGGTTTTCCTACATTTGCACTTTTCAATATTAGAACATAATTGTCTTTTACCTTGTATCACCCTCTGCTTTTGCAATATGACCAAATATGTGAGCAAATGAGTTGGGAATAATTCCTCTAAGTTCAGGAACAGCTCGAACACCTTCCATGGTAAAAGTTTTGCCTGTTCCAGTTTGACCATATGCAAAAATAGTCCCTGAAAATGATGGAGAGAATTGTTAGAGTTTAATGCTACAAAAAATAGTTCTTAAAATCAATTCCTTTGACACTATAATATAACTCAGTTCTGGGATTCAAAATTTATTCCAGTATAGGGGACCTGGCCCTAGCTCAGTTCTTTAAGTGGCTGCTTCTGCAAAGCTGTCAGCCTCAGGGTGCTGCAGTTCGATCCCCACAACTCAAGCCAGCCAAACCACCCCTGAGGGCATTCGGAGCCAAAATTTATTCCAGTATAAATATCACCCTTATTACCCAAATGAGTAACGCTACTCTGTGATGTACAAAGAACTGTTACAGCAGCAGAGTTAATGAGGTAGTCCTAGCTGTCAATAAAAAGTACTGTATCCCAAACCCTAAATGCAAACCCTAATTATAAGAAATTTCTTATGATGTATACATATTATTTTTCTTTTTTTAAAATGTATTTGGTACAGGGTCTCACTACGCAGCTTAGACTCCTAGTGATCCTATTTTCAGCCTCCCTAGTGCTGGGATTACAGGCGTACACCACCATGCCCGGTCTCAGCAGCTGGCTCAGCATGCTCAGGGGCAGGGCCAGCACAGCATGTGGTGCCCGGGATGGAATCCCAGGCCCTATGCTTGCCTACACAAGTACTTGGTCTGCTGAGCTATCTCAGTGGCCCTTTATTTTTCTAAAGAGAATAAAAAATAGTAAAAAATAAATAAATATATAAACCATTAGAAATGACACAGAATTTCACTAAGCAAAATGATAAGAATTCAATAATGGTTGTTATATTACATATTATTGTCTTCAGATTTGATGCTCAAATTACCAGATATAAGCACACAAATACGTATCTATATGTGGGTATAGATTATATCCAGGGGAGGAAGAGCTGACTTGAATGGGACCTCCTAGTTTGTCGTGGAATCTCCAGAGTTCAGAGTGGCTACACCAGTCTACACTCTCACCAACAGGAGAGAAGGGTTCCTTTTTCTCCACAGCTCCTCTAGCATTTGCTACAGGTTCACTTCTTGATGACAGCCATTCTTTTCAGGGTGAGATGGAAACTCAGTGTTGTTTTAATTTGCATTTCTCAAATGACCAATGATGTTGAACATTTTTGCATATACTAATTTGTATTTCTTCATCTGAAAAGTGTATATTCACCTCAGATGTCTATTTTTTGATTGGGTCTTTGAATTTTGGGGGCCTGATTTTTCTTAATTATTTGTATGTTTTAGATAGATGTCCTTTGTGTGAGTATATATTAATAGCTTATTGTGGACATTAAATTGTACAAGTATAACACAAGAATGCAGGCTCCTAGAGCTGAAAGACCTAATTCTGAATCTTTATCTGCCACTTTTTGGCCACTTAAGCTTGAACAAGTCATCTAGCCAGCGACTGTTTCCTCAGTGGTAACACAGGGACAACTGCTTCAGAGTAACTCCTTTAAAGTAAGAGTAAGAACCAAATGAAATAATTAACTTCAAGCCATCAACATCAGGCCTGGCAGGGAGTACGGTGAATGATAACTTTTTCTTCCCTAAAGTAAGTTCATTTAAGAAACATTTTTTAAAGTAATAGTAACAGAAATAGATGTCATCAACTAAGAGGGACAATACAATTACTACAAGTAATGAGAGACAATTTAAATTTATTTCATACCCAAATTCATTCATGTGACCAACATTTACCACACATCTGAGTCTGGCACTGTATAGGTACGACAGGCAGAATACCAAGACAGATAAAATCCTTCACTTTAGGCTGGGTATAATCCTGGAGAGAGATACTGAGAATGCAAACCAGTTCTAGATGGGACGTGGACACAAATCAGCAGACTGGCTTGGGGAGAAGGGGAAAAGGGCAGGATGACGTTCCTGAAGATGTGAATGGTAAGATCTGAAATTCAAATAAGAATCAGACAGGAACAGAGAGCAAGAGAGAAGTAACATTCTGAGCAACCCAATGAGGTCGGAAAGGAATAAACAGAGACAGAAAAGGAAGGTAGGTGGAGAGAAAGTTAAAGAAACTAGCAGGGCCCCAATCCTGCAGGGGCATGATGGCTGTGTTAGTTTTGGGTCTTATACTAAAAGCAAAGTGAAGTCACAGAATGATCTGCCAGAGCAGTGGTACTGCGATCACTACGGCTAAATCATAAGTAAGGAAAGCAAACAAGGGGAGACGTGGAAAAACCAGTTGCAGAGTAGAGCAGTTGGCCAAGACAATGTACTAACAGATGGCCTAGGCCCTGGGGTGTGAGCCATGTGAGCCATGTGTGCAGGACGGCACACCTGCACAGCGAACAGCCTACCTAGCCAACAAGTGACATCCTCACTTTCAGAGTTTTTGTAGAAATAATCACACCAAATCCATATTTTACACATACATTTAAAAAAATTAAATTTCTTCCAGGCTGCTAAGTATTACAATCTGCCATTATGTACCACAATTTACTTTGAATAGGAGCTAAAATACTATGAACTCAAAGAAACACAACGAATTACAAAACAGTAAGCTGTCTGATGACAATAACAACTATTTATTGACCTTTACTATGTGCTAGGCCAAGCACTTTATATGCATTATTTCATTTTCACCCAAGCCCTAGAAGATAGACATAATTTTTGGCTACATAATTACTCCCATAATTTATATAGGAAAATACAGGTATATGCTGAATAATGTGCTCAATGTCATAAATTGTAGAGATAAAATCTTAACACAATCCATCAAGCTCTGAGAGCATAAATTTTTTGAACTAATATGCAACTACCAAAAATTTTTTTAATTAAAAATTAGTTTCTAGTAGGACTGGTGAGATAGCTCAGAAGACTGAGTGCCTGCTTAGGCAAGCACAGGGACCAGGGTTCGATCCCTGGCACCGCATGCCACACTGACCCTGCCCCCACATACACAAAGCTGCAGACCGAGTCCAGGCAAGTTGGTGCATGCCTGTAATCCCAGCACTGGGGAAGGTGAAAACAGGAGGATCTACAAGTCCAAGCTGCGCAGTGAGACCCTGTACCAAAAATTTAAAAAAAAAAAAAAAAGAAAGAAAGAAAGAAAAAATATGAAAATGCTACAAACAGTATGGCTCCAAATGTATGTTATTATGAACAGGAAAAACTGTGCAGGCTGTAAACCTATCAGTGTTGCCAGGCTACAACAGAGAATGAGAGGAGTATGTGAGCCACAGAAGACTGCAGCATATGTACTCTGCAGGATCTTACCGCCTTCAATAGGTGTCATTAACCTCTGCCCCCAACCACAAAATAGTAACACCAAGAGCAAACTCTAACATGCACTACGGGGTGTGGGTGACGCTGGCTGCCCATGCGGGCCCAGCTGTAAGCACACGCGTGCTGCTCTGAAGGAAGAGCACCTTGGAGGAGGGTGCGGGTGGGAACAGGAATCGCACGAGCACCTGCTGCACACTGTGCTGTGAATTTTGCTATAAACCTAAAACTACTCTAAAAAGCTTATTAAATTTTTTTTAATTATTTATTTATTTTTGAGATAGAATCTTACTATCTTGGCCAGGCAGGTCTCAAAAGCCCCGGCACCCAAACAGCTAGGACTAAAGGTACCCACCACTGCACCCAACTAAATTATTTTTAAATAATAGAAGGGCTACATATTTACCATTGAGAAACCCAGAATTACAGCTGAACCACATTTCAATAATGAAGAGCACAGCACCTGCCTGGCAAGTTCAAGGTTCTGAGCTTGAGTCCTAGCACACACACTCACACCCGGCCGAAAAATGATGAGTAAATAGAATTATATACTATAGCATTACAATTTTTTGTGCTTTTTCATGTTTATAAACTAGAAAACATAGCAGTAGAAACAATCAGAGTGCAAACATAGAACACAGCAGGGCTTCAGTGACAATTTCCAAGCAGCCTAGGGGGCCCGGCCCTAGCTCAGGCCTTTCAGTGGCTGCTTCCACAAAGCTGTCAGCCTCAGGTTGCTGGAGCTCGAACCTCCAAGCAGCCTAATTTCAAGCACCCTTATGTATCTTAGGAGTTCCCAAAAAGACACATGGTGGGAAGACAAAGAATGTTTGAAGAAATAGGACTGAAATGTTTTCCAAATTCGATGAAAACTCCAAACTCACGAAGCTTAATAATACATAAGCACAAGAAACACAAAATATACCAAAAATATCATAACAAAATTGCATGAAACTGATGACAAAGAATAAATCTTAAAACAACAACAAAAACAAAACCAGAGGACCAAAGGCATACTACACAAAGATGTAACCAAGCATGGCCGCCCATGCCCACGACGCCAGCACTCTGGAGGCTTAGGCAGGAAGGCTGCCACGAACCCACGACCAGCTTGCTTGCACAGCAAGGGCAAGGCCAGTCAGATTTCCGTAGAGAGATCCTGTCTCGAAAAAAAAAAAACATTTTTAAATATGAAACAGGGCCAGCCAGATAGCTCAGCGGGTTAAAGCGCCTGCTTAGGCAGATGCAGGGGCCAGGGACTCAATCCCCAGCCTGCCATGCCGGCATCCTGAGATGGCAAATGAGACTGGGCATGGTGGCACACCTGTAATCCCAGCAATTGGGAGGCTGAAAAACAGGAAGGATCAATACAAGTACAACCTGTGCAGAGACACCCTGTACTAAATACATAATAAATAAATAAATAAAAACTGACAGAACCCAAAGGAATAGGGAAATATAAAAATACGTCAGAAAATTCAATTCTCGATAACTGATAGATCAAGTTGATTGACTATGAGCAGATTAGTGAAACA